GCACTGCAATATTATGCATGTTTAGCTTCATGCATGTTTATCTTTAGTGTTCAATTGAGAACAGTATTGTATTTAGCTTAACTTGTGTGATGCAGTAGTGTAAATATGTATAGGCCCAATTGCCTTGTATAGCCTTTGTGTATAACTTTGCATGGTTAATTATATTTCCATTTATCTCTTTCCTCCTAGAAACCACACACCCTGTTGTATAAGTACCCAAAGTGAACCGGAGTGCGTTGTGTGGTGACAAGAAAAACCCTTTGCCCTGACATCCTTTGGCTCTGCTCTTGCCAGCCATCCTTGCCATTCACACATCCCTGAATCAGTACAGTGTGTTTAGTAGATGTCATCCAGTTTTTTAAATAACCACTTACCTCAATGTCTCGCCACTGTTTCATTGACTCTGAATGAGTAACAATAGTTGGATAGTCTGATTTCTTCACACAAAAGGGTAGCCAGCAGATCTGCACAGCTTGTTTGAGCTCCAACAAATAAATAAACTCTTCAAAGACAATGTTCTAGTGTTTGGCTGTTTATTGCCTTTATTAATGCACCCTTGACAACAATGACATTGATTACCAATTAATTATTCTACTTCAGACGAGCGTCCATAGACTTGGGAGAGATTCACCTATCGTGCTTTTAAGACAACTGGCAACTTGAAAAAACACTTGGTCAAATCATGACGTCAGTTATCTTCAGGTCAGAAAGTCAGAGCTCTAGAAAGATGCCTGATACGGGTTGGATGGTATACTGCACTGTTGGAGCTAGAAACAAGCATTTCACTGCACCTGCGATAATCTACAAAAAAAGAGTGTATACAACCAATAAAATTTGATTTGCTGGCTAACAAAAAGGGGTGTGCTTCAGGATCTGAGGGGATTAGATTAAATCGTCCCGGGCACCTGGGTAGGCGTGTTTTGCACTGGGTGAAAGTTGATTGCATTCATTTTGGAACCGGGCTGCCTCGGAGTCGGCTCAAAATAAAAGTGACGTAATTAAGCACATGGAGTAATGAGTAGGATTGTGTTTTCACACATGCAAGAGCAGCTATGTTTCAATTAAACTTGTCCAGTGAAAGTTTACATAGAAAATAGATGTGACAATTGCATGCTAGGGTGCGTTTCCATTGAACTATACTAAAAACAGCTGTATGTAATGACGTCACCCAAATCATTAAACGTTGAATACAAATGTAGGTTGAAGTATTTCCATTACTCATTTAGGCAAATTGTGCATACAGCTGTATGCCCTCCCACTTAGGTTTCATGTCTCAGGTAGCTCACGAAAGCCAGCATGGATAGAATGCAATAATTGACATATCTTTGCCAAATTCTAATAATTCTCATCATTACCATAACGCCACAGATCTAGCTCCCATGCACTATCGGCTGCCTAGGCTAGTTCGTGCCATGGTGAAACCTGCATTCCTGTAGATCTGAAATAATTGGATGGTGAAACTTGCCAGCCCACCAGAAAAGCAAGTTGAAGCAATTCAGACATTCTTGAAAGTCAGGACAATCCGTGTCCTACAAAGAAAAAACATTTTATAGTTGAACATTTTTGCAAGACGTAGGCTAGGTATTTAGAATGAAATGTGCAGTGGAGCTTTTAGTTACGTGAAGACATCACATGCACCGCGTAGCCTACCTTCAATAGTATTCGGCAATCATCATTTATTTGAAAAACACCGTTTATCACTTATCGCAATAAATAAAGTTCGACAAAAGAAAAACCCACACCTGTCGAACATTAAAAATGCTGTTGATCTTTAGATGTCTCCTATATCTGACTTAACATTAGACGTCGCAAATATATTGCTTTTGTCGAATAAACCTGGGGCAATGGAAACCTGACTACTGATTTGCTTTTGAGAAATCTGCCTTCCCAATGAAAACTACTTAGAAAATTCAACAAAAATAAAATGTTTAAAAGAGATGTTTCTAGACGATGCACCATGCTGCCTTGTTGATAACGTGACAGAGTGGCGCTCCCCACTCACCGCTTTTCGTCGTTCATGTCACGGGCCAAAGACCAGTGCCCTGCAGCTCAGCATTATCGAATCCGCCCACTGTCCCCGACTTTAGTACCATAACATCAAATATATTGTAATGACCTGGCTAGATCATAAAGGAACAAATGTCCAGACAGACGCTTGAGTTTACGAATTCCCGGTTTATTAACCAAACTCAACACAGGCTACTGTTTGACCGTAGCCACGCCAAATAAATCAAGGATAACCGTATAAAACAACCGTGACCATCTCTTGTTAAGACCAGATGTAAGAGAGAGAACAATGGCTAAGCATGGTCTTATACTTGTCTCACACCTGCATTCACCAGCTGCTCTCTGGCGAAGGTGTGGGCCGCTTCCAGGCGGTCCTGGAGTCTCCAGGGGCTGACCAAACGCCATCTTTGCAGATGGTCCTGGATGCCAGGAAGCTTGGCCCCAGTGATGTACTGGGATGTATGCACTACTCTCTGTAGTGCCTTGCGGTCGGAGGCTGAGCAGTTGCCATACCAGGCAGTGATGCAACCAGTCAGGATGCTCTCGATGGTGAAGCTGTATAACTTTTTGAGGATCTGAGGACCCATGCCAAATCTTTTCAGTCTCCTGAGGGGGAATAGGCTTTGTTGTGCCCTCTTCACGACTGTCTTGGTGTATTTGGATCATGATAGTTTGTTGGTGATGTGGACACCAAGGAACTTGAAGCTCTCAGACAAACAAAGGAAAATAAAACCCACACCAACTTAGGTAAGGGAGTGCAAATAAACGTGGAGCAAACCAAACAGGTGAGACAAGATAAGTATTTTTCACAACTTAAGGAGAAGGTGCTAAACAGCAGTGTCGCTCATCCAACATCTTTCATGCCAACTGGAGCACTCGGCCAGCCACTCTTAAATAGCACCTGTGCCTGCATAGGTGAAACTAACGACTGACTAACGAGGCAACAGGTGCAACACATCCTGACCAATGAGGATGATTCAAATCAGGGCAAGCCACACCCAAAGAGAGCCAACCTGTAAATCGAAAACAAAATCGAAAACGAAATTGAGCAAAACCCCAAAGCTTATAATGAGGATGTTTAAGAACATATATTGAACATTTTATTCAAAACAGTTAAACTGTTGTAATATTGTGACGTGTAACTTCAGACACACTCTATGCTGAGTAAAATAACATTATTTATTCTCCAAAAATTCTAACATTAGCATTTCTTGGGAGTGACTTTTCTACCAAAACAAGTGTGGTATAAAGATTAAAGACTGAAGCACTTAAAGGTTATACATTTCTACTTGCAAATCATACATGTAACATTTATACCTCAATCACATACTGTATCAGTAGTAAGGAATAAAAATCCACTACAGAAAAACTGGCAGGTAGATCTCCCCGTTTTATGATTAGTTTGTGTTCGCGAGGTTGACAACATTAGCAAAACATTCACATTACAAGTCTTCCTCAAGTCCATGCAACAGTTGTTTCACAACAGTTTTTGTGAATTAAATGTTTGTTATATTTCCTATACCATCCTGTGTTGTGTGGTTAGTCTTTAACCATTGATATGTTCTAGGCTATTTTGAGACCTTAAGGGAAAGATTCACCCATTTTGAATGTTATATCGTTTTTGTGCATTTCTGAGCGATGATCTATCGATTCCTGGGTTGATTTCCTGTTTTCATGTGTATCTGATCTATTCACTGTTCAAGCAGGCATGAAATACAAAACTCGTCATACCTGCTGTATTTCTGCCTGCTTGAACGGCAATAGCTCAGATACACATGAAATGACCCCAGGAATCGATATAACATCACTCAGAAATGGCATGTCCATCTTTTTGTGAGAAATTACACTGGTCACTCAAAACATTTATAAAGTATTTATAAAGTATAAATAGCCCACACTTCAGATGAGGCCACACAAAAAGACTAATGATTAATTATGATTAGTAAATGGTTAATAAGGACCTATATTAAACATCTTATGAATGGAGTAATGACTAATAAATGAATAAACTATTTACTAATCTATTATGCTTTATTACGTAGAGTTATTACAAAGTGCTACCAGAAAAAGAAAACATATATGTTGATCGATCTTCTGTGGCAGCAGTTATCACTTTCATAATTTGCCTACAGTACATGGCATCTGTAATGCTGACTGTTCAGATTGACAGTCGTGGCTTTTTCCACATCCAGTTTATTCAGTGACTATCTTCAGGGCATCAGATAAGTTAGTCACTCAAAAAAGGTATATTTCCAACACACACACAAAAATGTACAGAATGTCCCCAGGTGTGTGTGTGTGTGTGTTTGGGTCTGTGTTACATGAGAAGGTGTGTGCCAGAGCAGAGTCTAAATGTCATGAGACCAGATGGTGGGAGATGAGGTCTGATTAGATACAGCAGCAGCAGATAATAGCGCGTAAACATCAGTACAGCAGCTAACCAAACCATCCACACAAACCGATACAGGCTGACAAAATTGGACAGAAACACGATAGCATTTATCTTTATTGCAAGGCTTGAGTAAATGAGGCAAGTCTTTACAAGCACAAAAGCAACATACAGTAGACTACCTTGTCTTCATTTTGTTTTGACATAATAATCGACACGCTTTTCTTGAGAAACTTGTCTACTTACACAAAAGGTTGGAAATGTACATTTCAATTGATTTAGGACCTTAGTCAATATGTCACTATGGCAGCTGCCATAGACCGGTTGGTTGTTTAGCAACATAACCGAATTGTGCACAAATATGGGGCAAAACAGACAGTGTTGGCTTAGATTGACAACATGTAAACTATATTTAGTCTCCAATGTTTATTGAAAACATAAATAAAGTTGCACAATGAGCACTTGTCTCTCAAACACATCATTACAGTTGTAAGTTAGCTAGCAAATTTTTGCCATTTTAGCATTGACGTGACATCAGTGAAAATCCCTAAAAACAACACATTGTACCAAGAACAAGATAACACTAGCTGAAATTAGCCACTTACGATTCCCCACATGGCAGTTTCTATTCATTGTTGCTAGCCATCCAGAATCACAACACACTGCCTTCTGCCACATTGAAGCGTACACATCGTTTTTGTGACGTTCTCAGCTAACCTGTGTATATCTCTGCACAGCACTGGAATCATTCATTCTATTTCTATGACTGGAATAAGGATTTTCAGAGACAACCTGGGGTGTTCTCTTCTATAACAGAATCCCAGACCTCCAACCGCACTTCAAGTCCTCAGACCTTCTGATCGTTCACATAGAAGAGTCATATTAACCGGTTGTCAAAACTAGTCGAGTGGCGCGGCCAAGGCATCATGTAACGCACCCTCTTCCAGAAGCTTGAGTTGGGCAGCGTCGACCCACGCTTTCCCTCCTGCCACATTAAGGGGGCACTCTTGCGGACCAGGTGCTGCAGGCCGGGGGACAGGTGTGTGTAGCCCCCCTCCCCCATGTCTCCCAGCTGGATGAGTATGACGCTCATCTCACTGTGGACCAGAGCCTGGTGGAGCCCCACCTGACAGTCATAGTCCTCCGCTGAGGTCAACGATGACGAGTAGCCCCACTGGCCCCATGACCCTTGACCTCCTGAGCCTGACCTTGAGCTTGAGCTGGGGGTCAGGATGACAATCAGCCTCCTGCTCAGCCGCATGCAGGCCTCCACCAACTCCATGCGGTCTGGGGACAACAGAACAGAGAGGAGCAGGAGAAGTTAACTTTCGACTTTGGTACTGTTTATTACTGTTACATTTGCTTCTTAGAGGGCAAGACACAGTCTGAAAGAACCAACCTTCTCCAGGTAGGTCGTCTCTGCCGTGGATGAAGAGTCTAAAGCCACACTTCTGCTCCAGGACAGTCGGCAGAACGCTGCTCACGAAGTGAAACACTTTCTCGTCCATGTCTTTGTCTATGCCATCCATTTGGTAGACAATGTAAGCATCATAGACCTTCCCATCTGAAAACACAGACAAAGAGGAGGTTTCTGTCAAACCTCAGCATGAAAGGAGTAGATTTGAGAGATTTGATTAAATTCTATTTGAACTGAAATTGAGTTATTTTAGTATAAATGGCCCATTACTTCTACACTAGTAGTGGGATTGACCCAAGGCGGGACCTGTTGCGAAAGGCCTACTGCAAACAACTGCTGTCACGTTCGTTGATGAACGGGTCAGACCAAGGCGCAGCGATATGCATACATGTTTATTTGAACCGAATAAACAACGACAAAACAACAAACGAAACGTGAAGTCCAAGGTACACAAACAACATACCTAACACGGAACAAGATCCCACAACCCACTAGAGCCAATAGCGACAGCTGCCTCTGATTGGGAACCACACCGGCCAACAATAAATCTAGACATACTAGATCTAAACATAGAAAATCACAACAAGGAATATACACACCCTGACTCAACATATAAGCGTCCTCTGAGTCAGGGCGTGACAACTGCACTGCACAATCAGTGGGCCGATTGAGACATTTACTGTACAGTACAAGGTTAGAGTGCTCCTGTGTGGTGACTAAAAACTAAATGTAGTAATATGTTTATATGGTACGCAATACTATACAGATAATGTAGGCTGAATAAGCATTTCTGTACAATGAAATATCTTAGTGAAATAGCATCAGTAAACTTTAGTCTATGGCTAGATGTTCTTACCCTCAGATCGATCATAGCATTTGAAAACTCCACGGAAGAGGAGAGCCAGATCGATGTCAAACACTTTGACGGCTACAGCAGCTAGCAAGAAGAAGAGCAGCAATGCCACACATAGACCCATAAATATAAACCCTGTTGGGGGAAGACATGGAGGACACAACACCAAGAAAGTTACAGAGTGTATATGTGTGATTTTGTTTGTGTGACATGTGGATGTGTGTCTGAGTGATGTTTGTGTAAGTGTGTGTGCACTAACATCTTGGTTTGAGAGTCACCACTGCATGAATGAATTTCTGGTCGTTTCTGGCAACACACTTGAACTCTGACTGGAGGTCCTTGATAGTCACTGTGTCTATGGTCAGGATAGCCGTGAAGATACTCCGCATTGAAGATACCTCCACCTCGCTACAGTAACACATACACACAAAATATTCACACAGTGAATTCTCAATGGTGAATCTGGGGTCTGTGTAAATTCTGTTACCATGTTCTCAAAAACAAGTGTGTGTATGCTTGTGTGTATGCGTGCATCCATGTGTGTGTGCGTGCGTACCTACCTGGTGGTGATCACTGAGTAGCCTTGCTGCTGCGAACCCACTGTCACTCCGTTCATCTGCCACGACACGTGACAGTTGTCTACAATGTTCTGCCCACAAAATGCTTCACACCTCAACTTCTTTGTGGTGTCTATGAAGAACAAGAGATACAACGAAGACGGAGAGATATACCGGGCAAACCAAATCAAGCACAACACAAGTATTTGAAAGTATTTGAGCCAGGTGTGATCCCTACACAGGTCAGTGGTCTCTGTGCTTCCGTCTCTAGGCAGGTTGATCTGAGGAGGATGCGAGGCAGAGGGAGCTGAAGGAGACAAACGCACAGTTTAGTCAGAAAGATACTTTTGGATACATTCAAAATGTAGTCATTGATGTTTTTGATGATTGTTGCTGCCTCAAAGACCACACGTGATATGAGGGTTGCTTTTGATGTTGCTTTTGATCCTGTTTGTTTGTGTAGCCTAATAACCTACTGTAATTTAGCCTAGAGTTTCTATGTTTGCTGACCCTGCTGCCATCTTGGATGAGGTTTCAGTAAAGCTAAAATCAAATAAATAAGATGCTGAGTGGATTGACAGAGCTGTCATCAAGCCACGACCTACTTACCTTGGATCTTTAGTCTCCTGGATGCAGAAGTGTTGAGAACCCTCCCGTTGTGATCCCACGTGCACACACACGTATAGATGCCCTCGTCTGCTTTTGAGGCGCCATTCACCCACAGATTACTCTCAGACTCGTTTGGAATGAGACTGAAATTCTGAAATGAAAGACAAACAATTTGACAAACTTCTTTGCTGAACTAGCAGTAAGATACCTGATTCCACTAATCAAGAGCTTGATGATGAGTTGGGTGTTAGTGCTGGGCTAGAACAAAAACTGTGCAACACTTATGAGCTTTAGGACAGGAGTTGAGAACCAATGGTAAATAGTTTTGCAGGATTGAGGTTTGTGTTAGCATTCTGGTCATGTTCAGTACCTTATACCAGGCTAAGTTTTCTTTTCCATCCTGGCACAGTTGTTCCACGGGGGTCAGGACATGGGATACGGATTTTGTTTGCTGAATCTGAGATATCACTGAACAGGACTGAGTGATCGAACGGTTGGGCTTTGACCACAATCACCTTTGTCACAAATATGACGCAGGTGTTTGCTGCCTTTCTCCTGGAACATATGAATATACACAGTGTACCAGTTATCCAAAACGGTTCTACCTGGAACAAACAGGGTTCTAACTGGGGGCCAGCCGAATAACCCTTTTAGGCTATAGATAAATGTTTTTTCTAAGAGTCTATACAGCCTGAAACTAAGCAGTGTAAAAACGTAGAAAGTTTCCTTACAAGCCAGAATGTTTAATAAAATTGTATTACATTTTACCATACCAGTTGTCTGTGTGGTTGGTCCTTCAGTGGGTCGAATTTTGAGACAAAATATCGACAGGAAAGTATTATTTACCTGACTTTTTAGAGTGCCGGTACTGCCGTTGATATTTCTATCATCTGGCACATGCTCAAAACCATGTAAACACCTGCAATATTTTGGTCAGTATGCATATATCGGCGTGCATGTCCTTCCATCTTGTGCTTGGCCTTAGGTCAGGAGCAAACACATCTTTATTGCCACACACGAGACCCGCGTTTTGAAGACGGTTATAATAGTTTTTTGTGGATATTTTGCCTCAATTTTCAAATTGGCAGAGTAAGTTCAAATACAGTGCATTCGGAAAGTATTCAGACCCCTTCCCTTTTTCCGCATTTTGTTACGTTACAGCCTTATTCTAAAATTGATTAAATTGTTGTTTTTTCTCATCAGTCTACACACAATATCCCATAATGACAGGTTTTTTGAAATGTTAGCAAATGAATAAAAAATACAACAGAAATATTACATTTACTTAAGTATTCAGACCCTTTACTCAGTACTTTGTTGAAGCACCTTTGGCAGCGATTACAGCCTCGAGTCTACTTGGGTATGACGCTACAAGCTTGGCACACCTGTATTTGGGGAGTTTCTCCCATTCTTCTCAGCAGATCCTCTCAAGCTCTGTCAGGTTGGATGGAGAGCGTCGATGCACAGCTATTTTCAGGTCTCTCCAGAGATGTTCGATCGGGTTCAAGTCCGGGCTCTAGCTGGGCCACTCAAGGACATTCAGAGACTTGTCCCGAAGCCACTTCTGTATTATCTTGGCTGTGTGCTTAGGGTCTTTGTCGTGTTGGAAAGTGAACCTTCGCCCCAGTCTGAGGTCCTGAGCGCTCTGGAGCAGGTTTTCATCAAGGATCTCTCTGTACTTTGCTCCATTCATCTTTCCTTCTATCCTGACTAGTCTCCAAGTCCCTGCCGCTGAAAAACATCCCCATTGCATGATGCTGCCTCCACCACGCTTCACCGTAGAGATGGTGCCAGGTTTCCTCCAGACGTGACGCTTGGCATTCAGGCCAAAGAGTTCAATCTTGGTTTCATCAGACCAGAGAATCTTGTTTCTCATGGTCAGTCCTTTAGGTGCCTTTTGGCAAACTCCAAGCGGGCTGTCATGTGCCTTTTACTAACGAGTGGCTTCTGTATGTCCACTCTACCATAAAGGCCTGATTGGTAGAGTGCTACAGAGATGGGAGATCCTTCCAGAAGGACAACCATCTCCACAGAGGAACTCTGGAGCTCATTCAGAGAGACCATCAGGTTCTTGGTCACCTCCCTGACCAAGGCCCTTCTCCCCTGATTGCTCAGTTTGGCCGGGCGGCCAGCTCTAGGAAGTCTTGGTGGTTCCAAACTTCTTCCATTTAAGAATGATGGAGGCCACTGTGTTCTTGGGGACCTTCAATGCTACACAAATGTTTTGGTCCCCTTCCCCAGACCTGTGCCCCGACAGAATCCTGTCTCAGAGCTCTACGGACAATTCCTTCGACCTCATGGCTTGGATTTTGCTCTGACATGCATTGTCAACTGTGGGACCTTATATAGACAGATATGTGCCTTCCAAATCATGTCCAATCAATTGAATTTACCACAGGTGGACTCCAATTCAGTTGTAGAAACATCAAGGATGATCAATGGAAACAGGATGCACCTGAGCTCAATTCCGAGTCTCATAGCAAAGGGTCTGAATACTTATGTAAATAAGGTATCCATTTTTATTTTTACATTTGCAAGAATTTCTAAAAACCTGTTTCCGCTTTGTCATTATGGGGTATTGTGTGCAGATTGATGAGGATTTGTATTTTATTTAATCCGTTTTAGAATAAGGCTGTAACGTATCAAAATGTGGAAAAAGTAAAGGGGTCTGAATACTTTCCGAATGCACTGTATAATATTATTCAACGTTCATGCAAGACAAGGGACATTTAGTTTTTTTTTCTTTGTAAATGTGCATGCCTACCCTAGCCCTAGCTTCATGTACACATCCAGGTTCAACACTAACCCTAGACTCAACCCTCAACCTAACCCTAAGCCCCCCAAATAGGGCTCCCCCACCTCCGAATTACCAATTTAACCCCTAAACACACACACATCAACACACTGTTGTTGTATTACCAGTAGGTGTAGTACTGATCAGAGTCGTTGATTAAAAGGGGGAGGAAGAAGAGCTCCGGCCCATGATGATGCACACGCCCTTCCTCAGAGGACGGGAGCTCCTGGGTTCCGTTTCTGTACCAGGTAAACTCAGTCACGTTGGCCCAATCCAACTCACTCAGGTTATGGTAGGCTGGCAAACTAAGGCCCTCCCCCTCTGTCACAGTAGTTGCATCCCCCTCAGATCGGTTACATGGGGACTCTGCTAAAATATTAACATACATTACCCGACTAAAAGAGGTCTATTGTTCTAGGTACAATATATTCACTATGCTTTGTAATAATAGGACGTAAAATGTGTGAAATGTGAAGATGCTATACCTGTGTAATGACCTATTGTAGTGGGGTTTAAGGACATTTCTCTCTGTGCAGAAATCCTAGTCAAACTAAGGAGCAGAAACATGAGACCACCATCCACCAACTACAAGACAAGGGGAACAAAAAAAGTAATGTTACCTCATTGTAAAGTTGGTCAGGAACTATCGTTCCAAACAAGACCCTATATGAAAACATCAGGACCATGCTTTACTTGTTTTTACAATAAATGACACTTATTTTCAAGAGGGAATACATATGCAGAATTTTTTTTTAGGTTCGGAGTGAAGAATAACTGAAAGAGCATACCCTGAAAGTGTAGGAGCACATTTTCTGCAAAACAGGAACTTGCATCCACTGATACGAAAGACCATGAGTCACATTTCTCTTGAAAGATCTTGCTAGGATATCCTGTGTTAGATACTGCAGAAATGATTAAATCTGAAATGTTGACCAAATGGGGATTATTGAAATGGCAATGCAACATATTAACCATCACCACCACGCTTGACCTTTGGTATGATGTTCTTACTGTGGAATGCAGCGTTTGGTTTTCGCCAGGCATAATGGGACCCATCTCATCCAAAAAGTTGACTCAAAGTTTGCCAAAAAGCACCTGGACGATCATCAAGGCTCTTGGAAGAACGTTCTATGGACAGATGATTCAAAAGTATAACTTTTTGGACAACATGGTTCCAGTAATGCCTGGCGAAAACCACAACACTGCATTCCACAGTAAGAACATCATACCAAAAGGTCAAGCATGGTGGTGGTGGTGTGATGGTTTGGGGATGCTTTGCTGCCTCAGGACCTGGACGACTTGCCTTAATAGAAGGAACCATGAATTCTGCTCTGTATCAGACAATTATACAGGAGAATGTCAGGCCATCCATCTGTGAGCTGAAGCTGAAGTGCAGCTGGGTCATACAGCAAGACAATGATCCAAAACACACAATCAAGTCTACATGAAAATTGCTAAAAAGCAACAAAAATTGGAAGTTTTGGAATGGCCTAGTCAAAGTCCAGACCTAATCCCAATTGAGATGCTGTGGCAGGACTTGAAACGAACAGTTCATGCTTGAAAACCCACATGTCACTGAGTTAAAGCAGTTCTGCATGGAAAAGTGGGCCAAAATTCATCCACAGCAACGTGAGAGACTGATCAACAACTACAGGAAGCATTTAGTTGGAGTCATTGCAGCTAAAGGTGGCACAACCAGTTATTGAGTGTAAGGGAAAATGTAAATGTAAAATGGGGCAATTACTTTTTCACACAGGGGAATTGGATGTTGCATAACTTTGTTTATGAAATAAATGAAATAAATATGTAATTGTTGTGTTATTTGTTCACTTATGTTTCCTTTATCTAATATTAGGTTTTGGTTGAAGATCTGATAACATTCAGTATCACAAATATGCAAAAGTAGAGAAAATTAGAAAGGGGGCAAATACTTTTTCATACCACTGTACTGTATTTGCCAACAACAAAAAATCTATCGCTTTGGTGCTATTTTCATAAGCATGTTGTGAATTTTCAAAACTTAGTACAAAACTCCAAACTGCTAACACCTGTAATGCAGAAAGTCTTATATATTTTTAACATTTTATTGTGCATTTATTTTGTATGGAGACATCGATCACCACGCAACCATTGATCCAAACATTTATTCAATCACCAAACAACATAATTATATCTTTTCAATTCATGACATTGTTGCCAAAACCAGATAGCATCCTCTGTCCAGTGAAGTCCACAAAGCATATTGCATGTACAGTAACAGACATGACCTACAGCATTGTCAAGCAAGTTAATGTTTCCGACATTTTCGGACCACTAAACAACTATTGATTTAGAACCAAAGAGTGTTACCGCAAGTCGCAAAGAAAACAGGAGCTGCCTCCACTATTCCAGCACCATTTCAACTTTAACATTTAAACATAATCAAATCACCTCTGCTTAGTCTAATACAGTGACAACTAAAAGATACCAAAAACAATTTAGTCCAGTCAACGTAAGCTAAATATGATGTGGCTGTCCATGGATCTGATTTCTGTGTGCGTTTGTGCATGTAGAAAAGCATGTTGACTCACCCTACTTGTAGAGAAACGGCAATGCCATCCTCCTCGCTTTCATGTTGACAAAACGGTCTATGACTCTGTCATACAGTACACGTGTAACAGTAACAGTTGTTTTTTTTGGGGGGAAGGATCAGCTTAATATTGCAGATAGATTGTATCTTCTATCAATGTAATTGTCTGCATCACTTCCAATCCCCCATATTTTTATTTATTTTTTATATATATATATATATATATATATATATATATATATATATATATATATATTCCCCTTTATTACTTTTCAACCCCACCATCCTTTCCCTACTTGGAGTAAATTAGTGAACAACAACGCCCAGGCCTCTACTTCCGGTCCATACTCACTATCTACACCTTATGGACAGAGTTAATTTTACAATAATTCTATATATATATATACATATATACATATATACATACATACATACATACATACATACATACATACATACATACATACATACATACATACATACATACATACATACATACATACATATATATATACATATATACATACATATACATATACACATCTATTTATTTTTTTTCTCCTGAACTTCTTCTACTCTCAACCTCTCCGATCATCTTCATGATGTCCATCCGGTTTGCCTCTAAATGCCATATCTTTCTAACTGTGCTCCTTCCCAAAAGCTCCCAACATACAACCTATATACTTATTATGGACACAGTATGCTTACATTATTAGCTATCTTTGTTATTATTTGTTGTTATTTGTTATTAGTCCCATCCTTCAACTCTATTCAATACCTCCCATCTATCTCTTAACACCATCCATATAGGATTTCTATTTGCCATATATATTTCAACCATACTATGATGTTTTACAAAAGTTCTGAACCTTTCTATTCTCATTGCTTCTACAGATTGTGAATTAAAAATAAACATTTTTGCTAAAAGTATTATTATATTATTGATTGATTGACTATGACTTTTCAGATCACCCAGTAATGCTATCTGCAAGGTTAGTTCCAGGTAAATATTGCAATCCTTTAGCCATTCCTGGACCTGTGTCCAAAAACAAGCTACAAATGGACAGAACCAAAACAAATGATCTAATGATTCTATCTCTTCACAGCAAAATCTGCAGAGCTGGGAAGATTGTATCCCCCATATAAATAACATTCTATTGGTAGCAAGAATTTTATATAATAATTTAAATTGAAAGATTCTAATTTTTGAATCCGGTGTCGTTTTGCGTGTCAGTTCATAAACACTATGCCATGGGATCGGTACGTCAAAGATCTCTTCCCAACTATTTTGCAATCTATATGGGACTGCTTTCAATCCTTTGGTCCTTAAGTGAAACTGATATACTTTTTTATTTATCACAGTTTTCCTTAACCAATTATGTTCTTTAATGCAAGGCCGACAGACAAGTTCCTTACTTTCTCCCCCTTCAACTTTCCTCTTCCACTTTTGCGGTATGGCTGCAATTATTTGGTTGTAATTTTGGGTAGAGCAGACATTTCCATATGTTTTTATTACCTGCATGTGCGACATTTACATTTACATTTTAGTCATTTAGCAGACGCTCTTAACCAGAGCGACTTACAGGAGCAATTAGGGTTAAGTGCCTTGCTCAAGGGCACATTAACGTCATTTAGCAGACGCTCTTAGCCAGAGCGACTCACAAATTGGTGCGTTCACCCTATAGCCAGTGGGATAACCACTTTACAATTTGGGGGGGGGGGGGGGGGGGGGGGTTAGAAGGAATACTTTAGCCTATCCCAGGTATTCCTTAAAGAGGTGGGGTTTCAAATGTCTCCGGAAGGTGGTGAGTGACTCCGCTGTCCTGGCGTCGTGAGGGAGCTTGTTCCACCATTGGGGTGCCAGAGCAGCGAACAGTTTTGACTGGGCTGAGGGGGAGCTGTGCTTCCGCAGAGGAAGGGGAGCCAGCAGGCCAGAGGTGGATGAACGCAATGTCCTCGTTTGGGTGTAGGGACTGATCAGAGCCTGAAGGTACAGGGGTGCCGTTCCCCTCACTGCTCCAAAGGCAAGCACCATGGTCTTGTAGCGGATGCGAGCTTCAATTGGAAGCCAGTGGAGTGTGCGGAGGAGGGGGGTGACGTGAGAGAACTTGGGAAGGTTGAACACCAGACGGGCTGCGGCATTCTGGATGAGTTGTAGGGGTTTAATGGCACAGGCAGGGAGCCCAGCCAACAGCGAGTTGCAGTAGTCCAGACGGGAGATGACAAGTGCATAACTCCACCAGTCCTACCGATGATATCATTTACGAAGATTATACCTTTTTTAAACATTCTGTCAATAAATATAGGTTTTTTGTCAATTAGTATATTTGAATTTAACCACAATATTTGTTGCATTATTTGTTCTGTCGTTTCTGGAGGATTAAATTGAAATTGTAACCAACTTTCTATGGCTTGTTTTAGAAATAGTGACATTTGGGAGATTATTTCCTTTTCAAATAACTGAAAGTGAGAGGTTGTAATCTGAATAAAGGGAAAAAGGCCTTTCTTGAACAGTGGGTGAGACAATCTTACTAATTTGCTTGAGAACCAGTTCGGATTTAAGTATAACTTTTGGATGACTGAAGATTTTAGTGATAGGTCTAATGCTTTAATATTTAATAATTTCTGTCCTCCGAATTCATATTCATTATATAAATATGCTCTTTTAATTTTGTCTGGCTTGCCGTTCCAAATAAAATTGAATATTTTTAGCTCATATAATTTAAAAAACTGTTTGCTAGGCGTAGGCAAGACCATAAGCAAATAGGTAAACTGGGATAATACTAAAGAGTTAATCAGGGTGATTTTTCCACAAATTGACAGGTATTTTCCTTTCCATGGTAGTAAGATCTTATCTATTTTTGCTAACTTTCTATTAAAATTTATTGAAGTGAGATCATTTATTTCCTTTGGGATATGTATTCCGAGTATATCCACATCACCATCAGACCATTTTATTGGTAAACTACATGGTAATGTAAAAATTGTATTTTTTAGTGATCCAATACGTAATATAGTACATTTGTCATAATTTGGTTTTAATCCAGAGAGGTTAGAAAATGTATCTAGATCCTCTATGAGGCTGTGGAGGGATTCTAGTTGTGGATCTAAAAGAAAACATGAATCATCTGCGTACAATGACACCTTTGTTTTTAAGCCCTGTATTTCTAATCCTCTGATATTATTATTGGATCTGATTTTAATAGCTAACATCTCGATGGCCACAATAAATAGATATGCCGATAGTGGACAACCTTGTTTCACTCCTCTTGACAGTTTGAAACTTTCTGAGAAATAGCCATTATTTACTATTTTACACCTAGGGTTACTATACATGATTTTGACCCATTTTATAAGAGATTCTCCAAAATTGAAATGCTCCAGGCA